TTTACTATATTTTTGGTAATAAAGTTAGCTAGAGAAAAAATGTTACCAAGAGAATCAAAAGAGAGAGAAAATACATGTATAGTAGTGTGTGTAATGCACAAAAATTCATAAATGTATACTCAAATCTGTGTTGTTCAGGGTTCAACTGTATATATAGTAAGCATGTATTTATTCAGCAAAATTTTATTAAACACCTGTTAAGTGCTAAGCATAGTTCTAAGTGCTAGTGGTATAACGATTTTTACAACTTATAGTTTTGGACCAAAGAGACTTCAAACAAATAAGTATACAAATGAATATAAAAGCATAAAACTATATAGAAATCATTAAGGAAAATTGAAAGGTGAAGAGATATTGTAACAAAAGGACCTGAATTAGATGAGTTGGGGATAGGACTGAGGTCACCAACAAAACTACTCTGAGGAGCTAATGTCAAAACTGAGCTTGGAAGAAAAAAATAAGATTAAAGTGGGGGGTTTTTCAGGGAGAGGAAAGGGCAAATGTCAGATCTCTAGGATGGTACACACTTGACAGATTATAAGGTATCCCATTTAAAAACTGATTCATTCATACATTATATGTAGAGGGGGAACGGATGTTACTACAGGTCAGGTTTTGTGTTATATAATAGAAATACAAGGATAAATAGAACAGATCCTTTCCATGGAATAGCTCAGTTGCAAAGATAAATTGTATGATAAAGACATAAACAAGATATAAGCAAGAAGGCATCATAAAGAAGCTCATATTTGAGTTGAGTGTTGAAGGATGAGGAATTCAAATGGCTCAGAAGTGGGCAAGTGCTTTCTCAGCAGAAGGGACAGGATATGTAAAGACACAAAGATGAGAGAATGATGTAACCTCAAAGAAGCATGTGGTTATTACTCTTATTAGAGAAGAGGCTAGTAATTAGGCTATGGACAGACTGTGAATGGTTTTGTAAATCCTGCTAAGAAATTTGGACTTCCCTGTCTTAGCAAGGGGCAGATTGTTGGAGCTGTTAGACAGAACAGGGATATTTAAGAGGTGATTGTGGTAGGTGTATGGTATGGGGTTTGAATTATAAAATGGTGAATATATAAAAAGGTGGCAAGTTGAGGAATGAAGAGACTTTTGTAATATTCAAAGCCATACACAATGAACTTCTCAACTAATCCAATGGCCATGTGATTCGAGAAGATGTGCCAGGTTCAGGACATGTTGGTATGTTTAAGAGCCACTGGCCATGTTGAAGGTAAAGATAGAATGTGCATATACCTCCTGGTAACTCAGAGACCAAAGATACTTTTGGAAATCTGCTTATTCCTCAAGATAATTGATTGTGATCTGATAAAATATTATTTGTCACTCTCTGCATACAGTATGTGTATGCATATGTGTATGCACATATACATACATAGAGTGGCAGACAATATTTTATTTGTGTCTAATTAAACATTTGTATGTCTATACTATGTAACTATTTTTATCTATTTATTTTAAATAACTACAATTTGAAATTCTTATAGTTGTCCATTGCACAATCTGCACTAACACATGGAGGGCGTGTTGTATGTAACCCACCACCATCAATGACAAGATAACTGGATGCATGGACCATGAGCAGAGGTGGGGCCCTAGTGTCTGCAGATCTGACTAAATCGCACTGTACTATTTGTCATCTTTTAATTAGAGTTGTGTGGGTCCTGCCATTTTCTGTAATTTTCATATTTTGTTAAGATTATTGTACATTTTCGGGGCACCTGGGTGGCTCAGTCGGTTAAATGTCCAACTTCAGCTCAGGTCATGATCTCACAGTTCATGAGTTCAAGCCCCAAGTTGGGTTCCATGCTGACAGCTCAGAGCCTGTAGCCTACTTCAGATTCTGTGTCTCCCTCTCTCTCTGTCCCTCCCCTACTCATGCTCTGTCTCTTTCTCTCTCTCTCTCAAAAATACATAAAAAATTTTTAAAAAGACTATTGTATATTTTTGTGTTTATCCATATATCCAAAAAATACTAGCTATAGATACATACATACATATATACATACATACATACATACATATAGACATAGATTGACACATAAATTTCATAGATACTTAGAAACATAGATTCATTTGCCACAGATTAGTGTCTGCAAATGGAACAAAGATCTCCTGTCAAAATATGTAGAAGGATTTATTCATTTCCAAGTGTTCCTTTCTCAAAAATTGTCATACTGATGAGGGGAGGGTCATAATAGTATTGCCAAATTAAATTCAGATTTAAAATTAAATTAAAAGCATTGAGAACCTCCCTTAAAGATGCTGCTTGTCAAAAGCACACCCAGGGGAACAAAAACGGCTAAGATGAACTTCTACCCTCCGTGGTAAGAAGTGTGCTGGGAAAGCAGCAAGAGTGAGGTGATTTTGTTCCTTGTGGTAAGTGCTGTGAGGGAATTTAAAAATATTTTTAAATGTTTATTTATTTTTGAGAGAGAAAGAAGCAGAGCATGAGCAGGGGAGGAGCAGAGAGAGAAAGGAAAACACAGAATCCAAAACAGGCCACCAGGCTCTGAGCTGTGAGCACAGAGCCTGATGTGGAGCTTGAACCCACAAACCAGGAGATCATGATCTGAGCTGAAATAGGACGCTTAATCAATTGAGACACCCAAATGCCTTGGAATTTTTTTTAATGTTTAATTATTTTTGGGTGAGAGAGAGTGCGAGTGGGGATGGGGCAAGTGGGGGAAGGGCTTTAAATCTTAAACAAGCTCCAGGCTCTGAGGTATCAGCCCAAAGCTCAATGTGGGGCTTGAACCCACAAACTGTGAGATCATGACCTGAGCCAAAGTGAGACACTTAGCCTACTGAGTCACCCAGGTGCCCCAAATGCCATGAGGGAAGTTGCACTGGAAGGTCATTTGAAGCAGAAGAAACAGACTTTGCAAATATAAATATTGTGTTTGGGGCATCGATAAGATGTTGAACAGAGAAGCAGCTTATCCTAATGGAAAGAATTCTGCAATTTACTAACCATGTCATTTTGGGGAGTTTACCTAACCCTCCTCATGCCTCTGTTTCTTCATTTTTCAGAGAATATTTGTTTTATTTGTTTTTTTCATAATTTGTGAGGAAACCAGGAGATAATACATGTGCAAGCAGTTTAAAAATAAGCATTAGGTAGTAGTATATATTATAACATTTGCATATTAATAATAAGGATATAATAATTGAGAACATGAACTTTTGTTTCTCCCAATCCCTTTTCTATGCTTCCTTTCTTACTGGTATCCATACCCGTGAAGCTATGGTTATCTTTCCTCCTTTGAGAACGTGGCAGTTCCACTCCAGAAGTGCCTGGGGTGGCAGCCAGTGCATGGGGCTCTGTGGGAATGTTTGGATTAACCTTTGCAATTCTACTCCAGGAACCTGCCTCTTAATGGGTGACATTGACCAAGAAACTGGAGAATGAGGAGGTTATTTATATATGCTAAATATCCATGGAATTTTACAAATATCTATTAATCCAGGACTCCTTGACCTATCAGATGAAACCCAGTATGTACAGAACTGATGATTTGGAATTGGAGATCATGTTGGGAGATCTGTCCCTCAGCATCATAGCTGCAATGCACGAAATTCTCCTCTACTAACTCGGCTATACAAATCCCTCTCCTGACCTGTGTCTGCCTTAAGAACAGCACCAGGGAGATTCCTGGGTCCAGAGAAAGAAAACTTCAGATGGTCTAACACATCCAGCTAAAGCAGACAGTATTCTGAGAATATTGTGGAAGGTGAACTGAAGTTGTTGCTTTATAAAAGTGAAAAAAGTATTGACATTTCTAAGCCCAGAACTATTTTTTAACAAGCTAGAAAATACTGAAAAACAGGCAGTACAGTTTTCTCAAGAGAATGCAGTGTAGTTAGAATGCACACTGTTTTTTTCCCAGTGTGTATTTGGGTAAAATATGTTCAATGAAATTCCAGGCCAAATCCTAATGCAGAAATAATCCAAAATATGGCAGATTTATAGGGTAGGCAATTTTTATTTATTTGCTAATGTGGATTCCCTTAAGAAGTCAAATGTTCTACATGTTACTTATGGCTTCTCCTTGAAAAGACTTACCTCTAAGGTCTCAGCAGCATAAAACTCCAGGCTGCAGAGTCGTCTGCATCAAGCATTAGCCATAATTCTCCTTTGCCACTGACTCAGGGTGGTTTGGAATCTACTAACACTCTACCTGTTTGGTAATTAATAATTCATAATTAAACTGGCAGTTTGAATAAATCAGCATAGCCGTAGGGTTGGAGCCTCTCTTGCCGTCCTTTTGAGAATCTGAAATATAACAGAGAAGAAAGCTTTAGGTATCTGAAATTCTCCATGAAAAGCTTTGACCTCACACCCCCACCCCCATCTCATAGCTTTTGGATTTGTTTAATCTGTTCTTTGGATCTTTCTTTCAAAGAGGAATTAAACAGGTGCCGTTGTCAGCCTTTGTGCCAGACACTGTGGAAATAAAGATGTATGTGGCTCCATTCTTATCCTCAAGCAACTAACTCTATGTAAAAAGACAGGCATTAAAAAGAAAAAAACAAAAGCCCAGCTGTGATACCACGTGCTCCATCCCCTCCCCATGGGAAATGCAGACTAAGACAGTGGGGAAGACAGGTGATTGATTGTCTTTTTAGGATGTGGGGAGAAGTTAGGGAAAACTACGGAGAGGACGTGATCTTTGTGGTCCCTTGAATGAAGAGTTGTATCTTTTCAGGTAGGGAATGAAGAAAAGAAGAGGAAAACACAGCTATGGAAGTAATTGCGCTTTTGCCACATTCTGGAGAGAGCCTGGGTTGAGCAGTTGAGCACTAGCAGTGTGCAGTGTAAATGGCCACATCCTTGTCAAATCAAGCAATCTGAACATTATTACTGAGAATAGTATTTACCATAAAAACATGCTATGCAAATATTTATAAGCCAATACCTCCTTTTGAGTGCAAGGAATAATCCCCATGTATTTCTTTTCTCCTTTGTTTCTTTACAGTTCCTCCCCAGATCATGAATATCTCCTCAGACATCACTGTGAATGAGGGAAGCAGTGTGACCTTGCTGTGTCTTGCTATTGGCAGACCAGAGCCAACTGTGACATGGAGACATCTGTCAGTCAAGGGTAAGGCCTTTTCCTGTAGAGATTTTTCAGAGTTATTCTATTATTCTATTGAAGAATCTGTTCTAATGCACAGCAAAACTTTGGGAATCAGAAAGTATGTATTTGTAACGGTAATGTAAAAGCAACAGGCCACATACATCAGTCACCAAGTATTCCATTACAAAAAAGGGATTTATAGAGAGAAAATAATGCTGAATTATTTTCTCAGTCCTTTTTACAATCATAGAAGACTTTTGTTTTCCCAACCAGGAGGAACAGAGGTGCCATAAGAATAACTTCCAACAAAGATACGAATTTCTCATGGTGGAGACACATGGGTCAATTGGTCAATTGTCCTTTCTCTAAAGAGTGCCGGAAGGGAGAATATCCATTGTAAATGTTGGTGTCACTGTGCATCCAGGAGAAAAAGGATATCCTCACTCATTACTTTTAGGACATTTCCTCAGAGCCATACCTGTTTGACCTGTACATAAATAGTTACCGTGAGTGGAAGAAGAAAGCTAGAAAGAGTGAGGTCCATCTAGGCATGCATGTCCTGGGGATGAGATGATTGGTATTAAACATCAGTTATGATCATTTCTGCCTTCATAGGAAGGGAACCAAAAGAACAGTGGGCCTTATCCCTTTGGAACTAAAACTAACTCCAACTTGAACTTGAAGAGATGAACACAGAGTCACTTGGTATATTTACACATTAGTAGAAACTATGATTAATTCTAGAAATTATACAAGAAACAAATGCCCCCTCAGGCATTGGAAAGTCTAAACAGGAACTTCAGTGAATAGGAAAATGTGTGGGGTATGCCTGTGTGTGATGAAAGGATAACCTAGATCTAGAGGAAAACATAGGAAGCATCTTAGTAACCTTGAGATAGAGAAAGATTTTCTAGGACATCAAAGGCTCTAATTGTAAAAGAAGAAAACATGAATAAATTTGGCTTGGCATTCATTATTTTCTCACAGCTGTTGTAACAAAGCACTACAAATGGCATGGCTTAAACAACAGAAATGTATCTTCTTGTTGTTCTGGAGGCTATATGTCCATGATCAAGGGTAGAGAGGCTTGGTTCCTTTTGAGGGCTGTAAGGGAAAACATGCCCAATGCCTGTCCCCTAGCTTCTGGTGGTTGGCTGTCAGACTTTAGTGTTTCTTGGCTTGTAGATGCATCACCCTGATCCTTGCCTTCATGGTCACATGGCCTTCTCCCTGGGTGCCTCTCTTTGTGTCAAATTTTCTCTTTTTATAAGGACAACAAACCTATCATATTAGAGCCCATATTAATGACTTTATCTGATCTTGATTAACTTTGTAAAGATCCTATTTCCAAATCACATTCTGAGGTGTTGAGGGGAGGATTTCAGGGTATCTTATTGAAGGGCAATACAATTCAACTTTTAATGGCTTCATCAAAATAAAACCACTATTAAGTGTAAATGAAAGGACAAGTCATAGACCGGGAGAAAACATTTGCCATACACATATCTGGCAAATAATTTGTGTACTTTGTCTGGACTATATGTTTTCTGCTTTATCTGAGCTCTATGGAGAATTCTTACAACATAATTCTAACAACCCATCTTGAAATGAACAAAAAAAAATGAACAGACAATTCACCAAAGAAGATATATGAATAAAAATAAGCACATGAAAATATGCTCAATATATTTACTATAGAAATGAAAATCTAATCATAATGAGATGCCATTAGACTAGAGTGCCAAAACTTAAAAAAAAAAAGTGATAATATCAAATGTTGTTGAGGATGTAGAGCAACTGAAACTCTTACACATAAACTCCAGAAAAGTAAAATTATATAAGCACTATGGAAGAGAGTTTGGCACTTTGTTATGAAGTTAAAAATATACTTAGCATACAACCCAGCATTTCTGCTTTGAGGTATTCATGAAAGGTAAATTAAAATGTGTGTCTATAAATATGTATTGTACATAAAGATTCATAGAATCTTCTTTTATAATATAAATGAACCCTATACAATCCTAAATCCTCAATGATTCAATAGACAGATTGGGGTATATTTGAAAGAGAAATTTTTACTCTCAGCAAGTAAAAGGAACATATCATTGCTACATGTAACAAAATGGATGATTCTCAAAAACAGGCCGAGCAAAAGAAGCAAGACACAAAAATACATAGTGAATGATTTCATTTATAGAAAACTCTAAAACAGGCAATACTAAATTGTAGTGACTGCAGTCAAGTCACTGGTTACCTAGAGTAGGGATTTGGGGAGATGTGACTACAAAGGGGCCCAAGGGAATTTTTTCAGGTGACAGAAATGTTTTATATCTTTAGTGGGGTAGGATGCTGGTTATGTTACTACTACATAAAGCAAAACATCAAAGTGTACACTAAAAAGAGGAACATTTTATGGTATATAAATTGGAATCTAAATGAAAAATTTTAAATATACATATAGAAATATGGGAAATGATGATCTGAAAATTTGCCCCTAATTTGCAACATCATTTATGGAAGCAATACTTCCTACCTGAAAGACTGAATTTTTTTTGTTAATAGGAACATCATTTAAGTGTTCAATCCCATTTCCTCCATGTAAACTGAGATACATTTGTCAGCCCTTGCCTTGTGATAGGGAAAGATAGTGAATAAATCTGCAAACATTCTTTGTATACAGACCTCAGATATCAAAACCTAAAATGTCTATATGGTAAAGTAACATAAACAAGAATATTACAATATACATAAGAGATAAGAGACATCGCAAAACCCAACTTTAACATAAACGGAGCAATAGCTTATGTTCCCAAAGACACAAGCCCCACGGGAATATTGCTTGGACTGAGGAACAATTTTGGATTTATATTACATATAAAACTGTATCTAAACATCAGACAAATTTTTATGTATTTGGTAAATTCAGATGTTTTTGTAAATGCTTGACATCCCAAAATGCATTTATTTGATCCTAAATACATAGTTTTCTGAGCCTAGAAATCTTTTGAAAGGCATTTCAACTTGGGTTTTCCTCTTAAAATAAAGGAGATTCATCCATATTCGCAATCTTTTATACAATGTAGTAGTTAAAAGTCAGCCTCAAAAAAAAGCTCAGGAAATGCTACATTTAAATGATCCTTCTCCTCTTCAAATCTCCCAGGCTATGATCTACTTTTAGTTGCCTTTCCTTTTTTCATGGCTTTGGCCTTCACTTTGCTGTCTTTAGTCCCCTGTTGTCTCTTTTTTCCCCTTTCTCAATGACATTTAAACACTTAAACTCAAAGCATTGTTCCCCAAATTTGTAAAAACTTTGGCACCTGGAGGATTTGCAAGATTAAAATGTGCATCTGCAGAGTGACTACCAATATTTACTTTTAGAATGCTATTCCTCCTCTCACTTGGAGTTGAGAAGGCTCTGGGAAGTTGTTTTAAAGGTCTAGAAGAGCAGCCAATAAAACTTGAATGTCAAATAGCATTTTTTAGGACAATGTGCTGGTTAATTCAGCATGCAAGAATAGGAAATAAAAGTTGCAATGACATTTTCTTTGAAATTCCCATAGGGTTACAGTGGAGAATTTAGCTAACTGGACAGCCCTCTTCCCAAAATGCTGATACAATATTTGAAAATCTGTTGGTTAAATTTGGGGATCTATATAACAGATATGAATAAACAAACTTTTATTTAGAAATAGAGTATTATTTTATTTTAAAAAATTTTAATGTTTTTATTATTTATTTTTTTGAGAGAGAGAAAAAGACAGAGTGTGAGATGGGGAGGGGCAAAGAGAGGGGAAGACACAGACTTCAAAGCAGGCTGCAGGCTCTGAACTGCCAGCACAGAGCCCAAATGCAGGGCCTGAACTTGTGGACTGGAAGATCATGACCTGAACTAAAGTTGAACACCTAACCAACTGAGCCACCCAGACACCCCAGAAATAGAATAGTTTAATGAGCAGACTATTAAAGATTAAGAATTTTAAAAGACAGACCTAACACATGGCACCAAACCCTACAACTTATAGGAAAGAGGTAAAGGCTAATGATCCAACAAATCCATTATCACACAAGAAAATAATAATGGTAAGCTTGCATGAATCAGAAGCTATATGGAATCTCTGAAATACAAAAAAATAAACTGATATAATGAAAAGAAAGACAAAAAAAAGCTAAAAATACACAAGTATGATCTACACCTGAAATGACATGTAATTGAAAGTGGAAAGGCTTCAGGGGCACCTGGGTGGCTCAGTTGGTTAAGGGTCTGACTTAGGCTCAGGACATGATATCGTGATTCCTGGGTTCAAGACCCATGTTAGCCTTTTTGCTGAGAGCTTGAAGCCTGGGGCCTACTTCAGAGTCTGTGTGTCTCTCTCTCTGCCCTTCCCCATCTCATGTTCTCTCTCTCCCCCCTCCCGCCTCTCAAAATAAATAAACATTTTTAAAAAGTTAAAAAAGTTAAAAAAAAAAAAAAAGGAAATGGAAAGGTTTTAGGTCTTGGTACACTGGCAAATGTTTAACACCGATTAGAGCTGAGGTAGGGAAGGGAGGGGTGCCATGGTTGCATTTGCTCATTTCCATGGTGTAAATATTCCCATCATTGCCACCTTCCTGAGAACCCCTTTGAAGTCACTGTGTGTAGGCTTATTTTCACTTAAAAATAAACAAACCAACCATAAAACCAGTCCTTCCTATGAAAGTAGGCTGAAATTTTTTTAAAAAAATCACCAAGATCTCAGATATGGATCAAAAGTCTCCCAGCATCTGTGTTCTCCAGACGTGGCTACCCCACTGGAGACCTCTGGACTTCCAGCTTCCTTTGCAATGTTGGCAGATGTGCCAGCATTCCCAGAAACTAGGTTTTCCTAGAGGACCTCTGCCTCACCTCCAAGGAAAACTGGAGATTTTTTTACAGGATTATGATTATTAAGCATTGTAAACATCTCAAAAGAAAGTGCTGTGCAAACATACATTCAGAGGTTTTGCAATTGACATGCAAACAGCTAAGCATTTGACCATGCATTTAT